TGCAAATGCAGAGCAATGCCAAGGCTTCCTGTGAATCTCCGACAATACGACAACCAAACATCGATGAAACAGATTACCCGAAACCCATAAGGACCACCCAAAAACAATACCCTGGTCGACCCTGGACATACTGCCCTTGCGGTTCCTCTCACTCCATCACAAGCTTGCAATGCCAAACCTGAAAGGGATACCGCACGAAAGGAGCCTTGGAGGCTCGATGACATCCGTTTAGACGGACGAGACTGTCAGCTTCCCCCTGATTGGTTGTTCAAATTGGTGGATTGCTGGAGTTGCGGGGGTGGTTTCTCATTCGTCCTCAAGAACCAGGGGGTCAAACCAACCTGGTGGGCTACCCTCCCACCAATTAAGATGGAACCTGACGTGGAGGCGCGCCTTTAAAAAGGTAACTGCCCCTCCGAACGTCGAACAGTTCCATATGTTCATTGGCGGGAGGGTGTGCCTTGTTGGGCTTCCTGGTTTGAATTGGTGTTGGGGGTGGCTTGCTGTTGTGTTTCCTGGTGGTTTGCTGGTGAGGTTGGGCAGGGGGTCAAATCCGAATCAATCACCAATTCCACACCCCCAAAAAAAGCGCAGGGTTACCCTCCCACCAAGTAACATGGAAGCTGAGAAGGGGCAGCTGCTGGTGTTGCGGTGCCAAGCAACATGGAAGCTGAGAAGGGGCACCTGAACTGGCGTACAAAGCCAAACAAGATCTTGCTGGTGTTGCGGTATTTTGAATTGGTGGTTCTGGTGGTGAGCAGGGATCCTGACATGAAAAACACCTGAACATTGCAACTTGCAAATGATTCGGTTTCCAACTTTATTTTGGTGTTGAAAAAGCAACATGTTTCAAATGGTTGCAAAATGGAGATCTTTCAAGGAGCCCTGGTGAGGTGTGCTTTCCCACAGCCGCGCCTCAGGGCCAAGGCGAACAGCAAACGCACCGTCGGCTCCATGTCTCGCGCCTGGGCTCAGGAAGCAGAGGCTTTTTTCTTTTTTCTTTTTTTCGGGAACCATCGCCAGGGGTGGGTTTGCCTCGTGTTTGGTCAAAATTGAAAAACCACCACGGAACTCCAAATACGGGAAAATCACGATTTGTTTTTTTCTGCCAGACCATGCAGTCTATGCAATTCCGAGGTACAAAATGCCCACCCCTCGGCTTGCAGGGGCCAACATGCAAAGGGGGGGTTCTGTGGCCAAAACCAAGCCCTTAACCACTGTAGGTGTCGATGTCTCATTCAGGACAACACAAAACCACACACACACACACACCCCAAACAAAACATACACACACCCACAAAAACAAAACACACACACACACACAAACCACACACACAGGGTCCCTTAGATGGCTCAGCCACGGCTCCTATTTTCGCGCCGGGGCGCGACCTCCAGAAACTCCTGGCGCGCCTCCAGGCAGCTTCGCACCGCGTCGGACTGCAGCAACAAGACCCCGATGTTGTATCTGCACGGCAGCTGCCCAGCCCCGGCGGCCTCCGAATTCTGATCTGATGATCTGATCTGGCTGGGTCGATCTCATGAGATGACTGCTGGCGGGTCTCGTGCGGAATGAATGCGGCATGAGGTGAGGGGATGACTTCTGTAAACCATGCCCTATGCACCAGCAGGTTATGGTTTTTGTGATGTTTTCCCTGAGGAACAAGAGGAGGCGAAGAAGCGCAGAAAGAAATACATGTATCAGTTTTGGTCCGCGCTTCGCCAAGAAAGAAAACAACGAAAGCACCCAGCTACAAATTTGTGAGGAAAATCAAAAGTGGCAAATTGGAATTGAAGAAAAACATCGGCCTCCGGGAACTGGAAAAGCCTCTGAGGAGAAGAGCTTCAGGAACTTGAGGCTGTTGGGGGAACTGAAAAATTGTCGTCTTTGAGGCAACTCCTTGCTTGATCTGTGTTACAAGAAAACCAAAAGCAACACAACTTGTCTTTTTGTAGTTTCTCTTTGGGGGGGGGCCTCCCCAAAAAGATCAGACCCGTTCATACGGGGCGCACCCTCGAAATTGTTGGGACTCAAATCGAAGGATCCAGTTCTTATGTCCGCATGGCTGCCTGGAGGGACACTTGGAGTCTATTTTGCAGGCCCAAATCCTGCAAGCCCAATACCTGAACGAAGGAGGTTACAAAATAAACTCATGGGTATGTTTCAATTTAGGGGACCCCACAGAAATGCGCAGTTTCCTCTTGGTTTCCCTTCGAATTCCAACTCCAAAAGTGTAGCCTCAAAAAAAACGGTACACCCGAATGTCCATCATCTCAGTTTCCCTTAGGGACCTGGAACCAAAATCTGGCCACCTTTTGGCGCCATGACGAAATATGCACCAAAATTGGAAAACCAAACTTTTTCAGGTGGATTCGCTTTGAACAACTGAGTCGTACCCAGCGCCCCCACATTTACCCTCCAAATGGCCAAATGGGTCAGTATGTATAAATAAATATATGAACAAAAACAAACACTAAAAACAAAAAAATAAATCAATAAATCAATAAATACATACAAATAAATAAATAACTATATAAATATATATTGATATGTCTACCTTTATATAGTTAAGTTACCTACATGGCGCATGTGGGATCATCCGTACCTTGGACACCCCCCCTTGGTGAGTACGACTGACCTGCGGCCAACCGACAGCCGGGGGGGGGAACGGTGTCACCACGGGCCTGGCGGAAGTAGTGCAGAGCCCGCGCGGGGTCGAAGCCACCGGGCGGCTTTGCGTCCTGGAGAACTGCCGTGCCAGGACATCAGCTCATGCCAAGAAACGAACCAACAAACGAACGGCAAATATACATATATATATATATATATACACATATATACATATATATATATATGTATATTACATATACATGTATAAAAACAAAACAACCAGACAAAGAAACAAACAAAACCAACCAACCAAACAATCAAATAAAGAAAGCAAGAAACAAAGAAACAAAGAAACAAAGAAACAAAGACACAAAGAAAGCAAGAAAGAAAGAAAGAAAGAAAGAAAGAAAGAAAGAAAGAAAGAAAGAAAGAAAGAAAGAAAGAAAGAAAGGAAAAAAGCAAAGCAGCAGCCAACCACTCCAGCAAACCAACCAAACCAACCAACCAACAAAAGCAACCAGCCACTCATACCGATTTCTCCTGAAAACTTTCCTTGGTTGAGTTGTGCTGTTGGTTTCGCCTAAAGAGGCTCTCGGTTTACACTTTTCGAAGAACGAATTGGGAGCACAATAATTTTCGGTCCCACAAGACAACTGGGATGATGCCAAGTGAACGACAAAGCTCATTTCCAAATCTTGGCACTGCAGACGACCCATGCTTCACCAGAGCCTTGTGGTTTCTGCTTTAGACATATTGAGGGAATCAATTGTAGCACCTTCACTCAGATCCTAGGAACAAGTTAAACAAATGCGTGGCATGCGGAATCTCCGGGACTTTCCGCAATCCCCTGGTTGAACGGGACAAGCGCACCGTGCATGACATCTCTTCTGACAAGAGCACGTATAGGGCCAGGGATCCTTTTTTGGTATCCTCGACCCCGATACGGGCCAACAAAAACAAACATGCATCCCAAAGAAAATTGCCCCTGGCTGTGCCTCTTTCCTTTTTGCAGCTCGAGAGGTAGCCTGTCCTGGTGCTCCTGCTTTGTCAGCAACTCCGCCAACAGCGCTTGCGCCGTGGGCTCCCCCATGTCTGCGGCCCGCTCCAGCCTTACGCTTTTGGCACTTGCGGCCTTCCCAGTCCATCTCTTGCGAATGGGCCCTTCCCAAACAAGCAGCACCATGAATGAAGAATAAACGCTGCTGACTTGTCCTACTTGCATCTGACTTGTCATTTCTGCGGAGCTACCTGGCAGCCCAAACTGATCCTCAGAGGTTTGGCTCGAATCAAGTGAAACTAGTGGAGACGAACGCCCGAGCAACAATCACAAACCTCATTTAGAACAGCAATATTTAAACACATCCTAAATTCGTATGGTTTAAGCAACACACTGTAGGGGAACACAAATACTGTGGATGGACGAAATCCTGCACCACTTTGAAACCATGGGAAACCACAGTTTGTTGGTATTTACAAGGGAATCATCATTCCAGGGGTTTTTTAGGTGGTGCCTAAGAGGATTTCGCAACCATCCACAGTATGTTGGTGTTCTCCGTAGTTGATGTCCTTTCAAACACGGAACGACCCCTGCCCACGGAAGCGCAATAGCTCGCTTCGCAGCAGGGGAGCAGCTGCCCAGCGCGGTCGGGATCCTTGTCAACTCCCAGGCCGTGTCTGTGCCGGAAATAGTCCGCGAAGGAACTCCTCGGAGACCCGGGAGAGACCAACAGAATCGGTCCCAGAAAACTCACGAGACCCTGACAAGCCCAAACGCTGTCAAGGGGAATGTGTATATTTACCCGTGTTTGCCCGACTCCAAATGGGTCAGGTCTGTTGGTATATATGGTATTGCGTTGCCAGCCCCTCCCCGCCTCCCCCCCCCACCCCTCCAACGGTCATGGGTCAGACAGGTTTTGTTGGCGTCAGCCTGCAAATTGGGCGACTTTCAGCCAGCTCTCGCCCCCTCCTGCGCTGCAAACCAAAAAAACGCAGGAAACTCCTGCCCCCCCCCCCCCCCACACATATTTTCACAAACAGCCCCCAACAAAACACAAGAACAAACCGCATCTCCAAACCCCAAAACCGCCAAACAAAAAAAACCGGTGTGCGAAGGCGGTCCAGGCAAGCAGCGCGGGCTCTTCCCCCTGCTCCACCACCTGCTCCAGGTAGGGCTGAGCTTCGCCTCGATTGGCGCATTGTTTTTTCCTTGTGCCTGGAGCGGCTCTCATTAGCATTCCATGGGGACATGCGTGTGCGCGCGTGGGTGTGTGTGTGTGTGTGTGTGTGTGTGTGTGTGTGTGTGTGTGTGTGTGTGTGTGTGTGTGTGTGTGTGTGTGTGTGTGTGTGTGTGTGTGTGTGTGTGTGTGTGTGTGTGTGTGTGTGTGTGTGTGTGTGTGTGTGTGTGTGTGTGTGTGTGTGTGCGTGTGTGCGTGCGTGTGCGTGCGTGCGTGCGTGCGTGCGTGCGTGCGTGCGTGCGTGCGTGCGTGCGTGCGTGCGTGCGTGCGTGCGTGCGTGCGTGTGTGCGTGCGTGCGTGCGTGGGTGGGTGGGTGGGTGGGGTGGTGGGTGGGTGGGTGGGTGGGTGGGTGGGTGGGTGGGTGGGTGGGGGGGGGGGGGGTGTGTGTGTGTGTGTGTGTGTGTGTGTGTGTGTGTGTGTGTGTGTGTGTGTGTGTGTGTGTCTGTGTGTATCTGCTCTGTCTGTCTGGGTCTCTGGGTCTCTGTGTCTCTGTGTGTCTGTATCTCTGGGTCTGTGTCTGCGTGAGTCTCTGTGTGTCTGTCTCTTTGTGTATCCCTGTCTCTGTGTCTGTGTGTCTATGTCTCTGTGTCTGTGTGTCTGCGCCTGTGTGTCTGTGTCTCTGCGTGTCTCTCTCTGTGTGAGTGTGTTTGTGTCTATCTGTCTCTGTGCCTCTGTGCCTCTGTGTCTCTGTGTCTCTGTGTGTGTGTGTGTCTGCGAGAGTCTGCGTAACTGTCTGTGTCTGTCTGTGTCTGTCTGTGTCTGTCTTCTGTTTGTTAGCTTGACCACCCCCGAATTGGTTTCAAGGAACCCCCAAATTGCTTGCGGTTCAGAAGTCCTTCCAATTTCTCCCTCAAAAGAACAGAAGAAGAAACACTTTTTTAAAAGACAAATTCCGAAACTCGAAACTCTGAAATGCGCCAATCTTCGCCGATCCAAAGGGCTGTGGTTTTCGTCCAGCTTGATGAGCGCCATGGCGTAGGCGGCACCCCAGTGCCCCGCCTCCGCCGCCTCCTGGAAGAGGTCCTGGGCCTCGGGAATCAGACTGTTGACTGCGCTGCCCTCAGATCCCCCGCTAAAAGTGACTAACCTTTTGTGGGTCAAATGGAAACTCCCACTAAACACCAAAAGGCTAAAAGGCAAAGGAACCGGATGGCTGGGAGCCAAGACTTGTACAAGTTTTGCACCTCTCAGCAGGTCCCAAGTTGATTGACAAATCATAAGGAACCCTATGCATGTTACATTTTCCTGGGAGTATGGGCTGACCCACTTCCTGTTCTGAGGCCCCTTGTTTCGATATAGCCAAGGTAGACCCGCCCCCCTCCCCTTCCAACATTTCAGGCTCAAAATACTCTTCACGTGTCCCTTTCATTCCAAAAGGGGAGCTTTGCACCCGAACAGACTCGCTCAAACCATGCTCTCGGTCGAGGTGCCAAGCCCACGTCCTGCGCCAAATCTGCGGGCCCGCCACCTCAAAGTGCAGCTGCTGGCAAAACGCGACGCACCGTGGGGTGGGGAGATTCTCATGAGGTCGTCCATTTTTGGGTTGGACACCCCCCAAAATGGCGGTTTAATCGGCGTTATGTTCCTTTCGGTTGGACCCCCCAAAAAATGGCAGTTTCATCGGTGTTCCTTTTGCTTTCCCCCCACACACACACACACACACACACACACACACACACACACACACACACACACACACACACACACACACACACACACACACACACACACACACACACACACACACACACACACACACACACACACACACACACACACACACACACTCACACACACACACACACACACACACACACACACACACACACACACACACACACACACACACACACACACACACACACACACACACACACACACACACACACACACACACACACACACACACACACACACACACACATCACGCATGGTAGCCTCAAAAAAGAGACAACGGTCAAGTGTCCTCACCACGATGCTCTTTCTCCAAGGTCACCAGTTGAAACCACACAACTGAAAGCGAGAAGCACTGTTCCAAGAGGAAGCACTATCATGATGTCAAGCCATGTTCCCCAAGGTCACCCAAATACAGTTGCAATCGCACATCTGAAAGCGAGAGCCACTGTTCCTCCCAACGGGACCATCACGACGTCAAGCCAAACTGAAAGATATCATGCCGTGGCTTGGGCTCTCTTAGCTCGCGGCTGAGCCAATAGAACCACAGGATCGGTGGCCTGGGGCCCAGCGATAGGTCAAGCAAGGCAGTGGAACACACACACACACACACCAACAAACAAACTCCATGTATATATGCAATGCAGCGCACATTTCACCCATTTGGAGATGGTGAATGTGGGTCAATATTCCCTACATGGAGTGTTTGGGGGAATATCCTCAGTCCCTTGGTCTGGGCAGACGTTACGAAGCCTCGCGGCATTTGTGCAGCTTCGGAGCTTCCTGGCACCGTTCGCTTTGCCCGACATGTTCTCGGGGCTACCCTTGCGGACTGAAAAAGGAAGCCATCCATTTCGGGGGCCTGGTCTATGTTGACACTAACTAAAAAAAAGAACGACTCTGCGAAACGGCTCCCAGTCGAGCGCGGGTCGTTTTTCGGGAATCCCTCGCCTCCTTTGGCTCCTCTAGTTCCGCTCCCTTGGAGCCGAAGCGCTTTGTGTGTTCAGGGGATGGGAAACCCCCCATCTACCCACAAGGACCAGGGCTTCAAATCCAAACGCCAAGCTGACGCGTGGCCTGAATGACTTTGGGTTGGACAACTCTAATGCTGGTGGCTACCTTTTGTGGTCGCCTTGGATTGGTCACTGGATGAGGGCAGGGGCTCTTGCCGACATTGGGTCACCTGCAAAACGTGTCGCCCTCGGAAAGCCGAGCGGCAACAGGCTCACGCAGGCGCAACCTGTGGTGACTCTGGTCGCCTGGAGATCGAGGCGTATGATTCAACAGCCGGTTGTGCGCCGAAAAAAAAGAAGCCCTCTGGAGAAGGGGCCTGATTTTGAATGCGGAAGGGTGGGCCCCACATTGTTCCCAAACTAACAACTGTCTATTAACACATCAACATGTTTCTTAGTTCCAAGCATGACTTGTGGGCAACCCGAAAACCGCACGTCGTTCCCGCTCCTGTCTTCTCACCAGGGGTACGCCATACTAACCTGCAAGCCGTACGGTTGGTGAGGTTAATTGGGTGTCTTTTTTGAAGCTACCCGTTCTGCGAAATCAAGGCGAGCGGAAATCAAAGTTAAAAGGTAAACCAAAGGAAAACCGAAATCCATTCATATCCACTTCAAGGGAACCAGGAAACCAACGGGACACCAGGTACCAAAAGGTTTTCTGTCCAGTGGCACAGGTGGCAACCTCAAAGAATTCCGCTTGAGCTTCCAAGCAACGACTCGATCCCCTCCCCGCATGAATTGCACCAGGCCTCTCTGCGGCAAAGCTTCGGCAACACCCAGATCAGCAGTGGAAGGACCTCAGCTCGAGTCAAGCCAGGCTCACAATTTGGGTCCTTTAAGGTTGGACCCAGCTTTGGCTTTTCCTTCACCAGAATCCCCCACTCCAAAAAGAAGAGGCGTTCCTTTGGGTCTTCCCAAATGGGTCCCTCAGGACCACCACCAAACCACCTGACATAAATGGCCCTGCCTGGATGGGGAGTGAGCAACAAGCCAAGCATCGTTGGGGTCTGCGGAAAGCCCCGAAAAAGGGAAACCGGAGCCGGGTGCTGGAGGGTCCTATTTTTATATCAAAATAAGCCCAGGTGGCATCCCCAACAGCGGAACCGCCTCTGCAACCGAATCTCCCGAACCCTGCCTGAAAGCAGCTTTCAGCCGTTGGGGAAAAACATCGTCCCCAGTGATAGATTCCCTTTAAAACCGGAGAAAACTACAAATAGTTTCTTAAAAACAAAAAACCGCAAACAAAACGAACAGAGATAACTACACCGCATCTTTTGTGATTGTACCTAACACACAGCTGCATATGGAGCATGTGGCGGCATCTTTGGAGCCTCTCCCATCGCTCGCTCCTTTCCCAACAAAACATTGCGGGGCCCAAGGGGCCCAGCACCAGGCCGAAAGGTATCCCTCGCTGACCACCGCGCTCTTGCCGTAGTACAGCCTAGGCGCGTCTGACAAACCACCAGGAAGGGCAAACCGCCAAAAAACCGTTGCACGTTGCCTTTTTGGGGGGTCCAACCTTAGAAAAGAGGCACCCAACAATTATTCAGTGATGATTTGTACTTGGAGCATAACACGCTTCTTGGCCACTTCATTCTGGGGATGTCTCTTTTCATTCTCTTCTGCAGGCATGGCAGTGACGCGAAGGAAGTTGGGAATCGCCTGTAATATTGCCCAACATTGGCACCCGAACTTCCCGCCACGGACAAGCTGACGCAGGAGGCCGACAAACACGGCGCAAATTTCTGCGTGTCTTGAGATGGTGAAGGCATAGAGACCAGCCATTGCTTGGGTTCCGCCATTGGAAGACACCTTTTTTCATATCGGGAGCTAGTCACAGGTTGCCCGCATAGTAACCCCCTGAAGGGGCTGGCTTTGGCGTCCAGGTTGCCCATGCTTCTCCCCTTCCTCCGCTTTCCCTGGTTTTCTGTTCAAGTCACTGGTCCAACGAAAGAGGTGCTCTTATCGGAAGGACGCCGGAAAGCTTTCCGGGACACCTTTCAGTGGATTTCAGAACTCGCTTCACCAGTCTGACCTCGAATGTCAAACTTCACTATGTACAACGTCATTATTCTTAGTATGATTAAGATCAACTGTTGTTGTGATCATCAGTGTCAGGTGTTTTGCTTATTATTCCTGATCATCATTATTGTCAACATTATGTATTATAATACTATATATATATATATTGATATCGGCTGTTGTACGTGTGCCAAAAGTCTGAGACAGGCCCGACTCCCAACGATGAAAGCTCCCATGGTCCCTTTGGATGCCTTTGCAACGAAGGCCTGGACATTTGTCATGGAATCGCCAAATATGAGAACATGAACGAGCACCTAAGCTTCTTTGAGCGATTGGTTCGATCCCGTCCATGGCGGCTTCGGAAAAAGGTGCAATTACTGTGAAGTCATGCGAAAACGTGATTAACCTGCAAGTGGGAAGGATTAGTACTTTGATTTGAGGTCAACCTGGGTGATTTCCGAGGGTACCCTTTCTAGGGTGAGGAAACCGTAATTCTTGGCGGCCCCCAAAGAAAAGACACACACCCCTAGGGTTCAACCCTCATTAAAAGAATGGCAAGGATCCAGTTTAGATGATGACAATCCCATTGTCTTCAGGGTGGTAGCTGAATCCCAGGGCCACTATGGCCTCACTTCCAGCCCAAAGAGACATGCCCTCCCACCAATTAACATGGAACCTGAGCGGGGGTCCTTCTTTGCGTGGGAACCCAGGGATTTGGTGTGGGATTGGTGGCTTGGATTTGGATTTGACCCCCCCCTGCATCTTGAGGATTTGTTTTGACGGGAAACTACCCAACCTCACCAATCCAAACCACCAATTCAAACCACCAATCCGGGGGAAGCCCAAAGGGGCATACCCCGCTGCGCCCAGATGTGACGTGGCAGCCCCCGCAACACCAACTCAAACCAGGAAGCCCAAACAAAAAAAACCTGCTTCTCCCAGAGGTTGAGGATCAATGGGAACACAACCTAACCTCACCACCAGCAAACCACCACCAATCAGGGGGACGTGCAGAAACTAGGTCCTCCAGTAGAGAGGTTGGAGTAAGGGTACCCCTTTTTTGTCTGTAGTCTATTTTAGTAGTTTGGAACCCAAAACCCCAAAAAAAGACACGGGTGAGAAGGGCACCAGTAAAAAACCAGTTGAGGTAGCAATTTAGAAGGCCCATTAATCCCAAAACAACTGGCTCGGCCGGAACCCAGAACCCCAAAGGGAGTTGGTAAAAGTTGGCACCTAGCTGGAAGACCTAGGGACTATGGATCCAGCCCAGCCATTTGGCCATGGCTCAAGATCCAAATCGGTTAGCTCCCAGTTTTTACATCCGATTCAATCCAACCACTATAGGTTCTAACATGGGTGGTGAATTTACCTACCAACCAAAATGGGATCCCAACACGGTTTTGACCCGCAGCCAAATACAGGAAACCGTCCCCTTTTGGTTGGGAAAACCCTCCTTGGGTAAAAGCTGGCACCACCGGGGGGAACATCCCAATCCAACCACTAAAATAAAGCAAACCACCCCCAAATAAATGAGAAAACCACCCCCGTTTATCACCAGCACACCACCACCAATCACGTGCAAAGAATTTTGCTGATCCTGGGCGCATCTCCGCCTTCGCTGCCAGGCCCTCGGCGTGGCCGTCCCTCGCCAGCTGCGACGCCAGGGCGTAGCTCTGGCGGTCCTCGTGCCGCGCCTTGGTTCTCGCTCCGGGCCCGTGCACACCACTTGGGGTGGGCTGCCTCACAAAAGGACGGACCCAAACCTGGCCCCAGAATCCAGGCTTTGTATGCCAAATGGAGTTGGGCCCAAAATGGACTTTGGGAGTTTGTGCCCCAATGGATTTTGATGTTCCTCTTGGTTTCCCTCCACCAAGAAGGGGTTCCCTTGGCTCGCAGATCTACGATGGGTCTGTCCGTTTTTTGGATGATGTTTGGACCCAACATGGATTTTGGTGCTCCTCTTGGTTCCCCGTTAAGAATAAAATAAACAGACACACAAACCAGGGCACCAACCTCAAAAAGACGAGCCACCCATGCATAGAAATTTAGATGCAGAACACGAACCAAATAACTCAAACGTTGGTTTATTGTTGTAACATGCAATTGTCTCGGCTCCGCTTGATTGTCTTGTAGTGTGTGCAAACAAAGCAAGCATCCCGTCATGACATCATACACTAGGGATGTCCTCATGAACATCCCCCTCTCCCTTGCCTCGCCCAAGATTCCAAACAAGCCCAATTCTAGTTCACATCGAGCCCAACCAGAAACCTTTCTGTCTAAGATGGTCTCCACTAACCACTACCAGGGAAAATGGCCTATATACCCTTTGTATAGTGGCGATTCTTGTGGTTGTATATCCCGTTTAACCGCTGGGGGTGGTTTGGTGGTAGTGGAGCCATCTTCTCGCGGAGTGCACGCCTGTATGAGGTAATCCATGTCCACTGGCTGTGGCACAGAACTTTGCTCCTGCGGAGCCCGCCGGTCAGTCGCTCGCAGGGGAGGATGCGTGTTTGTTTTTTTGTAGGGGGGCTATTACCATTAGAGTTGGGCCCAGTTATAGAATGTGTATGTTATTGTTTGCTTCAATTTGAGTCACTAGTAAAATGTAAAATGTATCCTACGTCTACCCCAGTTACCTCCTTAAAGCAACCAAAGCAAGCAGTAAAGTGCCGTGCCAAGCTCGCATCACCTGGCCAAGAAAAGTTCAGTTTTCTTCCCGGCCACGCCATGGCAATATGTGTCCTCTAAATGGGTCAGTTCTGTTGGCAATTATTATTTGGCTTGAACCCCTACACTTTGCTTGTGGAGAATTCATCAAGTCACAGCATGAGCCCATTTCGCGAGCTGCACAAGTCAGAACAAGCCACGACTGCCCCTGAAGTCGGCCACCGGTTTAAACCCTGGCCACGAGGAACTCGAAATGGTACCATCTGAGTCACATACATCCGAGCATCACACCACGCTCCATCCAGTCCGTGTGTGTGCGCGGAAATTAGACCCACAAGTTGAGTAAAACCATTCTGTGGGATGGCTTTTGTGATCGTGGCTCTTGTGCGTGTGTAAAAATGATGTATACTAAGACCCCCCCCCCCAACGCTTTCTAAGCCTGCCATTTTCCATCTGATCAATGAATTAAGCACTGCAGCGCGTGCTGAAATATATGGGGGCTGTCCACAACGAAAAAATGCCTGGCAACGCCCTTCTGAAACATGATCGGTCTATTGCGCACATCAAGCCGCTCCACGGTGTCTCTCTTCGAAACACCCTCCTGCGCAACTGCACCCATTGTTGAAACAACCGCGGAAACAACGAGCAGTATGCGAAACCGTGATTCCCAGACACCTCCCAAACACCATGCAAAACTTAAGGAGTTCATGCTCTTGGCAATGTGGAGCGTGAGCGTCTTCTGGAAAAGTTGGGGTTGCCATGGGTTCGAGCACTTTCCAAGAATGGGCGGGACACTCGCGTTTGTTTCGGATCTAGAAAGTGGGAAGTCCGAAACCTACGGTTCAGCAGGCGTAGGCACGCCTATGCCAGGTCCCCCAATGGAGCAGCTGGCCCTTTCGCGTTCCAATCACGCGGGTTGTGGCAGTAGAAACTCGGGATTTTTGCATGAGCCGCGAGTCTGTCAGAACAAATGCTATGGCAGGTGTGCTGACACTTGTTGCGTTCATGCCAGCCCAAGGTCAAAACTCTCCGTCTTTGAAATCAGTGCACTGCCTTTCAGTCCTTCTACTATTGTCCTCCTGGATGGCATCTCCGCTGCAAAGCTGCCGGAAAAAACTTGCCGCCAACACCAAGAATACAACAAACATATGGCCATGGGTCAAAATCCGGTACCCCCAGTGAACATCCCAATCCCCACTAAAATAGACTAAAATGGGTGGTGCACCTACCCCAAAATGGTACCATTGGTTTTGACCCACAGCCATATCACATGTCATTCATTGTCTTAACCGTTTCGCGTTCCAAGCGCTGGCCTTTCATGATGCAAACCGATTCTTTCACTATAGACTGCTCAAGACCATGTCTAGCGATTGTTCATTAGTGTTTAGATAGTATCTAGCTTGTAAGCAGTTTATCTCTGCCACTTGTCGAACTATCCCAAGTATGATTGGCTTGCATGTGTCCATCATTAAGTTAGCATATGTGTGAACCAAAACGGGTATAGCTGTCCTGTTGAAGAAAAAACTGGATGGGTTGGTAAATGGAAAACTAGACTGGTGGAACCCTGGAGACTGTCGGATCGCGGGGGTCCTGTGCGGCTGTGGCAGCCACTGCCATGGCCGCCTCAAGGCCCTCAGCGCAGCTGTTGCTGGAGATGTCCTCGGTCGGTCGAGGTTGGGGCTGCGGGTTGGGATTGGGGTTGGGGTACAGGGCTGAGGTTGAGCTGAAATTGAGGGTGGGGCTAAGGGTTGGGATTGGGGTTGGTTGGGGGGTTGGGAGTACAGGTTGAGGTTGAGGGTGGGGTTGAGGGTTGGGGTTGGCCTGTCCCCTTTAGTCGAGCAATTGTTGAGGTTGACTCGGTTCTCAAACAAGAAACACCACATGAGTCATCATCAAAGCCTGGTATTGAAGCAATCTGATGGTCTACCCAGAACCACGGAAAGAATCAAAAAGGCGGAATATCCGCACCCATTTCTGGCAAGGGGATTCTCCCGTAACCCTCATCTACCTGGGATTCCAGGGCGTGGCTCACATTGTGAACACGACAAGACCTCCTATGATATACACCAAGCACCATCTAAGGGCTTGATCAAAAGGTCCAAACATGGGGCGGCCATTGCTTGGAAAGCCACCAACTCAAAACACAGATCCTTCAAGCACCATGGAAAAGGTGCCCATGGTCAAAACCGGGGGCCCCTGAAGGGAAGATGGATCACCTGGCGTGGACTCTCAAAAAAAGAGTGGTAGGTCGTTTTCCGGTTCAAGTCGTTGGTCAGGTCTCCGAAAAAAAATCAGCCTTCCTCTTGCTGGTTGCCTCCTCGAGTGGCAGGGAAACTGGATCCCACGTGCCGAGGCACCCTCTCCAACCCTGACTTGCACCCGGGTAACCGCTGCTTTGGGGCAACCGTACAAACGAGATGTTGGTTGGTCGAAAAGGCAGGTGCAAGGTGAGACCCGGGTGCTGCTGGGGGTCGTTCTTTATGACCTGCCTTGGACATGTTTGACACCATCAATCACTTATCATACGTCAACCTGACTCAAGGCCCCCTTTATCTCCCTACCAACAAGCGATGTTGAGCGCATGTTCAGCTTGGTTGGAGGTGTGGGGGCTACAAACCACTTCTGCAAAAAGAGTAGAAGGATGAGTGGGCCTGTTCCAAAACAGCCAACAACTCAGTGACCGTGTAACACTCCTGCACTGCTGTGCCCGCCTGACAGCCTCTCAATTTGCCTCTAATTCCTTCCGACGCTCTCGCAACACGCACGCTAATAAGATCACGTT